CCACTGCATCCTGGGAATGCCCTCTTCTTAGCAAGCTGTTCACTCAAGCTAGCAAGCACTAGGTTTCACTGTAGGACTGAGGGAGGCAGCTGTGAAAAACAGAGGACTCCGGACTCTGAAGGCCACACAAACAAGCAGGTGGGAAATACAGAAAGAACCAGCCACCTTGGGAGGCAGAGCTAGGGGATCTCTGTGTGCTCAAGGATACAGCCAGCATGGAGACACACACCTTTAATCTCAATACCAACCATAGAAGACCTGGAGGTCTGTACAGATGAGCAGTGATAAGGAGGTCATGTGGTTGGGTTGGCAACCAATGAGAAGGCAGAACAGAAAGTCAATAAACAGCACAAACACACAGGAAGTAGGTCTCTTGCGGAGAGGTAGGACAGCAGCGGCAGTGAAGGGTAAGGTTTTTTATCTCAGCTCTTAGCTATTGCTCTGACCTCTTGGTTTTCATCTCTGAATCGTCTCTGTGTTTCTTATTTAAAAAGAGGTTACATCTACACTCCTGTTTCCATCTGTGTCCCAGATCCAAGACTGTGTTCTGTCCATATCTTGCTGAGTACCTTCATTGTAAACATCCTTGGGAACTACACTGGCCACAATGTGATACAAAAGAATGAGAAGGCTGAGTCATACCCTAATGATGAGTGATAATCCAACTGGAAAAGCAAGCTGAGCCAACTCCAAGTGTTGGAGGGCACAGTGGATATTAGAAACAAAGCAAGAGAGTTGATAATCTAACCTGCTTAATGAATTGTTCAGACACCATGTATCTATTTAGTGAGTTTCCCTTTAATTCTTTTTTATTTAATTTAGTTTATTTATTACTACTGTGTGTATGTTGTGTATATATAGGCTTGGGCATTTGAACACTTAGTCCCAGTTGGTAGCACTGTTTTGGGGGGTTTAGGCAGTGTGGCCTTGCTGGAGGAAATATACCACTGGGGACTAAGTGTTTATGGCCTAAGAGTTCATAATCTCACCCCACTTCCAGTTTACTAGTACTCCTATGCTCTCCATCTTTCCCTGCCCTTCTGTAGTTCATGCCTGCAATTAAGGATGTGATCTCTCAGCTTCCTACTGTGTGTGGGCATGCACACCCTGCTGCAGCATGTGGAAGTCAGAGGACGACTTTTGTGGATTGGTCCTCTCCTTCCACTGTGGGTTCTGAGAATAAATCTCCGGTTTTGGGGTTTGGGCAACAAGCACTTATGCCAGCTGAGCCATCTCCCCAGTCTCTCCTTCAAGTTCTTAAAAGAGATGGTTTCCATTATGCCTCCAAAACTAACATTAAAAATAAACTTTTGAATGATTGGTGAAAAAAAAAAAGAGGTGGTTTCATTTATTCTCTTAAGTGATTGTGTGCTGGCTAACTCAATGCCTTTGAAAAGACTCCGTATAGCTAAAGCATTACAACTGGACAAGTTTCAAAAGAAACCTATTTGTCCTGCTTCTGTACCAACACTTGCATATTGCTAGATTGTTAGAAGGTAGAAAATTACAGTGGAGCACTATGTATTTAAAAGTTTGCATCAGTAAACTGAGTGTGATGGCCCATGCTTATGTGATGGTCTGAAAGAGAAATGTCCCCTTGTAAGTGCAGGCATTTTAACAGTTGGTCCCCATTTGGTGACATTGTTTGGGGAGGTTTAGGAGGTCTGGCCTTGCTGGAAGAGTTGCATCCTTGGGGACAGGCATTGCAGCTAAACATGTGATCTCTCGGCTTCCTGCTTCTAATGACATGTCTGCCACTTGCTTTGCTTCCCTGACATAATGAATTTGATCCCTCTAGAGTCATAAGCCAAATTCAACTCTTCCTTCTGTAAATTGTATTCATCATAATGTATTAGTTACAGCAACAGAAAAGTAACTAATCCAGAAGTTGCTACCAGAGAAGAGGTTGATGCTGTGAAGAACCTGACCATGTCACTTTTCAGAGAAAGGTGGGAGACTTTGAAATCTCGGGCTAGAAAGTGGTTGGATGCTACAAGCAGAGTTTAAAGGGCTATTCTGGTAGAACCCTGGAAGACAATAGTACAGAGAGCAATGTGGACTCTGGAGGCCCAAGCTCCATGGGTTTCAGAGAGGAACAATATTAGAAACTGAGTTAGAAGCTATTCCTGTGCTATTTGAGCAAAGAATCTGGCAGACTTTTGCCAGTGTCTTGAGAACTTGCCTGAGATTAAATTTAACAGCAATGGACTAATTTCTTCAGTGAAGGAAATGTCAAGGCTATATAATGTTGAGTCTATGGTATGGCTGGTTTTTTTTTATTGATAATTTTATGCAGGTATGCAATGGAAAAGAGCAATAGGGCAGAATGAAATATAAATGTACAGTTTGGAAAGAAAAAGAGCACCGGGAAGCTTAATGTTACAGCCAAGATATATGTTGGAAGAGACTGTGATTACTGAAAAGTTTAGTATCATTAAGGAGGGGTCTGCTCTCCACCAGAACAAGTAGAAGGGTACCCTCAGGCCAAGATCTCACCCATTTAAGCTTCTGAATTCTGAAAGTCTGGGGTGTTTTCTGCATCTAGAAAACAACTGAATTTAAAAAAAAAAAAAAAGCTGCTGCTAATGTGATCCAAGAGGGCCAGAGTTCACGTCATGCTTGCAACTGAACTTGGCAATGTCCTCCACATGGTGCCAGCTTTATAAACATGAAGGACTTGAGAGTGAAAGGATTGAGGATTCTTCCTCTGTGGTTTTAGACACTGTGGAGGCCAGGCAACATGTGGTAGAGCCC